AATACCTGTTGGCTGGTTGGATGAATAGATGTTCTTTGCTGTGAGAAATTATATGGAACTTGGTGTTTTACTGTGATATAATGCAACTTAAATCCCTCGCATTATTTTATAGAGAGAGCAAAGGTATGGCTCTGCATTTCTTTGTTTCCCCTTTAATTCAGTCAAGTTTTTCTCCATTTTGGGATGGATAAAAAATGTGAACAATGGCTCCATTTCTTCTCTTACACTTCACAGGGTATTTTTTTTAAAATTTATTAATGTGTTCTTTTCTGTGGGTGCTAGCTTTCTGTCATAATTCTCTTCCCAGTGAGAAGTCTGTTTTTTTCATCTAAAGTTTCAGATTTCAGTCACTTGACTCTGAGGATGAAGGACAAGTACTTTATTCTCTTTCTTATACGATTATATTTATTTTTATATTAAGTAGTTTCTATAATGAATTGTAGTATTTAATTGTATGAATTGTAGTATAAAAATAACTATAACAGTATAAAAAATATCTATCTCTTTGTTCTTTGAAGAAGAATTTTTTGGTGCCAAAAATTATCCACAGCAATGAATGTACCTTTTAATTGTTTTAGAAAAAAATTTTAGCATGTGAATCACTCACATTAATTATGTCAGAAAAATGTTTCTTCAGTGACTGGGGGAAATTTTATTTTTAAACAGAATGAAGTAAGATTTCTTTTTGTCTCTTATATCTGCCTAAGGGCCAGCCACTCATTGCATGGACCTTAGGAACTATTGTTTTGTATCAGCTACCAGCGCAGCAGTGGTACAGAGCTGAGCATGCCAGTCTGAGCCTCTTGTCCTGAAGTGGCCAACAGACAGGGAAGGCAAGATGAGCTGGTCTCATTCTGTTTTGCCAAATTGAAATTTCCTTTCCACCTCCTAACTTATTTGAAGCCTGTTTTTATTTTATTTTGCTGACATGGTACATAGGAATTCAAGATATGCTGCCAAAGAGTAATGACAAATGACAGCATATGTCATATCCAAGCATTGTCTGATAACTTTTATCTGTTTCATCGATGCCTCTTCTCAGTACTGAGCATCCACAGTTGAGAACTGATAAATAACAGCCATTAGCTGCATTGGAACAGAGTGGAGCCAAAGTCTTTACAGTGGCCTCCAAGACCCTCATGGTGGGGAGACCCCAACCCCAAGACTAATACCTGCCACTCTTCCTTCTCCTTCTACTCCTCCCAGGCTCCCTGTCTGTGCCCTCTTCCCCCAGGTAGCTGCACTGTGGCTTCCCTCTCAGCTTCAGGTGTTTGCTCTAATCATTTTCTCAATTAGGCCCACTCTGATCACTGTACAGTGGGGCTTTGACTTACATGTTTAATTCGTTCCAAGACCGAGCTCGTTAAGAAGCTCATTAACTCAAATTACTCTGTCAACTCAATGCAAAAAATCGGCCAAGAGACAGCTGGTATCTCAAAAAACCCGTTAGTCGGGACACTCGCAAGTCAAGGCCCCACTGTATTTAAAATCACAAAACTCTCTGTCTTGGCATACCCAAACCTCTTTACTTGCTCTGCTTTTAAAAATTGCATTCATTATCTCAAATACTAAATACTTTGCATATTTATTATCTGTCTCCTTTTCCTACTACCAAAATAAGCTCATTAGAGGGTTGTTGTTGTTGTTGTTATCTATTGTTCCTATTGTTTTGTTCACTAACATGCCTAGAATAGTTTCTGGTCTTTATTAGATATTCAATAAATATCTTGTTAATGGTTTAATAAATGAATAAACAGAATTCAGTTTTAAATGTTGCTGATTTCTAGCCCCTCATACAGAAATGTCCCTTTCAACAAAACCTAACTGGAATGATTAGTTGCATTAGAAAAGGATTTGGGGTAATTGCAGCCAGAGATTCTCCAACTGCAGAGAGCAGGGGTCTATGGGCTCCTTGGAAAGCTGTTGATCATAAGGATGAGCTGCCTTTCAACAAGGTTTGCAAATTAGAGAATTATATTTTCTCAGGCCATGGGATGGGGAAATCCCTGCACTTAGAGTAGATTGAATGGTTATATTTTAGGTGTATGTTTGTCCAATCCAAAATTCACGTACTCTGTTTCTAAGTACTAGTGCATGTGAGAGTATACATCTTTTTCCAGTGCTTTTATTATCTTTTCCATAATTAAAAATCAATTCTGGTGCAATTAGCTCATTTTAAAAAGGAAAATTATCTTGCCATGTCTTTTGTTTGTTTGTTTAACGTTCTGATGAAACCCTTAAGCCAAGATTGGTATCTGTTAACAATTAAAGCAAAACAACATTTTAAATAAAGATAGTTTAATCATCATGTAGCCTAGAATGGAAAGGTGTGAGGAGGAAAGAGAAGTGCTATATCATTTGTGTATTCATGCTTATTGCTCTGATTCTAATTAAAGAAAATACATTTAATTCTAGAAAAAGGCTGAGAAATTTACCTTAAAATCAGAGTTTAATTTGAAGATCTGAAAGCAGGCCTAGAAACACAAACTCACTCTCTGAAAAGCTCATTCTTTGAGACCTGCTATGATAGACAGGCATGACCTAACTCTTTCCATTGGAAAGATCCAAGATCATTTTACAAGCTCTCTGATCTGTGAGTTTTTAGCTCTGTTGTTTCTAGATCCCAGTGCTGAAAAGACCCTGAAAGTGAGTTTAATCTGTTCAGGGAACTGGAGTTGTGCCAAGAGCCCACCCTTGACCAGGCTCTCTGGAGTTAGACCACCTGGGATTGAGTCCCAGGCTCCCCTCCATTGTAACCATGTGATTTAGGAACCTATCATTGCCTCCTTTTCCTCATTGGTAAGTTAGTGATAGTAATGACACCAACCACCTATAATGGTAAAACAATAATAATAAGGCCTCCATAAATGTTAGTTGTCAATATCACCCTCTCTTTTAATCCTCACAATTCAACAAAGTAGCGGTCATCATTGCTTTACAAATTATGAAATTAAGGCATAGTAGAACTTTCTCAAGGCATTTAAAGAATGGGGGGGCTAAGCTAATTTGAATATGTGTCTAGTACAATGCTCGGGGCTAGAGTCTATTCGTAACAATTACTGTGAACTAATTATTGAATGGAAATACCTAAATAATTCAGAACAAAATATAAACTGCAAAATATATACTTGCAACATGTACCTTTATTTTCCTTGAGGCAATTAAATGCCAGGCAAATAAAAAGGCCTTCAATATGGGCTTATTATTTTGAACAAAAGGAATGTATTCTCTAATAAGAGATGGAAACAATTTATTCTGACCTGGAGACTTCTGGAAGGCCTTAGGAAAGAAGTGTTACTGCCTTGAAAGATGAGTAAGCTTGTAACTAAGGGAGACAGAGAGCGCTTGGAAAGCTGAAGCAGCAGCCTGAGCAGAGGCAGAGCAGAGTGTGTGTCTACTGCACCGTGAGGAGATTCAGCAGAGTCTGCAGCTAAGTGTCATTTCATACAGAGCACAGTAAAGACCAGGGCATGAAGTGAGCTGGAGCCCATCGTGAAGGCATTAAATGACAGAAGGGAGCTTACATTCTATTTTCTGAATAATAGGGAGGTTTATGAAGAATGGAGTAATATGCTCACCTCACTAATTTTGGAAGTAATTCTGAGGATAGTGTAAAAGGATGGATTTAAGAGATGAAACTGGACATAGGGTCCATAGGCTGGGAACCACATATAGAAAGTTCATGGAGTACTTCAACAAATGAAGGCCTCACTTTGGACAGCTGATGAGGAAATGAAAGAACATTCCAAGGAGCCAGAGACCACTCGCCAGGAAACTAATTTGTAATTGCCCATGGGGAGTGAGGAAAACTGAAAGATGGAATGAAAGAATGATGGTGGTAGCTAGGGCAGTGGTCGGCAAACTCATTAGTCAACAGAGCCAAATAACAGTACAACGATTGAAATTTCTTTTGAGAGCCAAATTTTTTAAACTTAAACTATATAGGTAGGTACATTGTTATTAACTTAATTAGGGTACGCCTAAGGTTTAGGAAGAGCCACACTCAAGGGGCCAAAGAGCCGCATGTGGCTCGCGAGCCGCAGTTTGCCGACCACGGAGATAAGGTATCTTGGGAGATGACAGGTCTGGGTTCCCCGACAAGACTGGACTTTCTGGAAAATCTTGTGCTCATAATCATGCCTGGCTTTAAAGCATTAATGACATTTTTCAACTCCTTTTAGTATCACAAAGAATACTTTTCTGTTTTCAAGGTACAAATTTATTTGGTAAAAATAAACCATTCAAAAGAGAGCCTAGAATGTCCTCAGTGAAGTCCATATCTATGCCCTCTATAGCTTGAACTTACAGGGGAGACAACACTTTACCTCTACCCATCTTAGTTAGGTGTTCAGCTGGACCTCTAAGAAAAAGAAAAATTAACAAGAGAAAACCCACACAGAAATTTATTAATATTCAGACTCCATGTATGTGTGAAAGACACCCAGGAAAAATGAGCAACTCAAAGAAATGACATTTAGAATTAAATATCATTTTAATAGGGAAAGGGGAGGGGAAATAGCCCTCTTAGAGGAGAGTAAATAATTTTTAGGAAAGATGAATGGACCTTTAGAAGAATAGATGGGAGGCATGATGGTTTGTGACAGTTTGTCAGGGTGTGGTGTTGCCTTCTGGTCTCCTCTCTTGTGATGATTCAATGCTCCCTGGTTGATGAAATTCCCAGAAGGAGGAGGATTAATGACAATTGAGTTTCTTTTAGAGGATTTGTCTTTAGGCATTTGTTGTTTTCAAGTGCCTACAGCTCAAAATAATCAATATGCCAAAATGGCATATTTGGGGGTGGTATCTGCTGCTGCCCTGCAATTTAAGCCAGTAGCCTAGGAATGACCGTATCAGACACTCATAGGAAGCATTTATTAGAGCAATACCTTGGAGAGCTGCTTTAAGCATGGTTATTCTGAGCCTTAAGCTGCTGCTTCTTGAAAATGCATTTCACCTCTTTTATGTCCTCTTTTTTTTCCTTCCCATGCTTACGCTTTTAGAGGAAAAGTCCGGTAAGACATAACAATTCCTTTTCACATTTTGGCCAAACCTTTTTTTTTTCTATTCATTTTCACCGTCTGTATATTGAATGATGGATTGTGTTTAACACCTAAACAAGATTTTAAATTTTAAAAACAAATCTTTGTGAACGAGGGCAAGGTTTAATTATGTCCCAAGAGGGAGGAGGGGGGAGGAAGTTGGTTGCTAAGTGATTTTACCAGCTATAAAGGGCCACAGGGTAATTTTATAAAGATTCACGTCTGCCTCAATCACAGGTATATGACCAAATATTTTAGGTATTGAGTTTTGTTTATTGTAACTTCCACTTGAATTAGTCAGTTACATGTACATACTATGACTGGGCAAATATTTTTAACTTAATTTTTTTAAATATACAACATGATAATATCCATCCTGAATGAATGTTTGTGAAGCTGCCTAGAAAAGGGAAGTTACTTTCTTTTTCAGTTAATCTGAAAAATATCTCCGTATGATGATTACAGTGGGAAAGGGGCTGAGAGAAACGGACGAGGGCAAAGTGGGGATAAATGGTGGCTTTTTTTATCAGCCCCTCACCCAGGCTGGCCAGTCACCCAAGCGGGACCCCAACCCTGAAGGGAGCGTGACCAGCTGCAAACAGCCATCAGCCCCACACCCAGGCTGGCCAGGCACCCAAGCGGGACCCCCACCCTGATCTGGGACACCCTTCAAGGCAAACCACCGTGCACCAGGCCTCTATCCTATATAGTAAAAGGGTAATATGCAAACTGACCCTAACAGCAGAAAGACTGGGAGTGACTGGTCACTATGACACACACTGACCACCAAGGGGCAGACGCTCAATGCAGGAGCTGCCCTTTGGTGGTCAGTGCGCTCCCACATGGGGGAGCTCTGCTCAGCCACAAGCCAGGCTGATGGCTGCCAGTACAGCAGTGGTGATGGGAGCCTCTCCTGCCTCCTCAGCAGTGCTAAGGATGTCTGACTGCAGCTTAGGTCTGCTTCCCGCTGGCAAGTGGACATCCCCCGAGGGCTGCCAGGCTGCCAAAGGGTTGTCTGATTGCCATCTTAGGCCCAATCCCGCAGGGAGCAGGCCTAGGCCAGCAGGTGGTCATCCCCCGAGGGGTCCCAGACTGCAAGAGGGCACAGGCCAAGCTGAGGGACTCCCTCCCCTAGTGCACAAATTTTTGTGCACCAGGCCTCTAGTAACATAATAATCATATATACCAATTCTTTCCTAGGAAATTCTCTAACTGGATCACTGAATTTGCTATGACTATATTATATAAAAATAATATGTGTTTGGTGCTTTGTAGCTTTTCATGCATTTTTCTGTTTCCCCATGGCACTGAATTTAGCAAATGAGGATGTCATAAAATGTCATAAGCTTTGAAACCTGAGGCTAGTTATTTAGTGCTTTGGATAAGCAAGACATTATGTTTGGTTACTTTTTTTTTTTATAAGTATCTTAAAACACTAACCTACTTTGGCTGAGACTAAGCCATCCCAATTAACATAATTTGTATTATTTTGTGCAAAAGAAAAAACAACCTTGTGTGGAGTAAGGACACTGGGGACTGCAAGGACATAGACTCAAGTATATTTTGTAGGGAATCATATACATGTTGCAAATTATATACATTTTACAAATGTAACGTGTACAAATACAACCAAGTAGCCTTATTCTAGAGATCAAATCATAACTTAGTAGTATTTACCCACTTTGAAAGCAGCCTCAAAATACAGAGTTAGCTATCTCTGGAGTGAACACCAAAATAAAAGTAGAGGGGAAAATAAAATGTTTTTCAAAACCTCCAAAATTATCAACAGATCTAGATAAATCTCAGAATTGAACAATCAATGTTTAATTAGGAATGCAAGAAATTTGTTCAGAAAAATAAATAGGCCAATTGCACAGTCCCTGTTTGAGTAATCAGGTGAAATAATAAAAACAGCAGATGAAATTTACTGAGAGCTTGTTTTCTGTGATACAAATGCATTCAATCAGAGACAATTGGCCACCTGCAGCTTCTGAGCACTGGATAAGTGTTCTGTTATATGGTGCAGTTAAAAACAATTTCAGTCTGCATTTAAAAATTAGAACATTTGAATTTTTAAAAACAATTTAGATTGTGCATTTCCATTCAACAACTCTGAAGATCTGGCAGTACTAGGCTCACATTCAGGAACAGCAGGCACAAGTGTACCTGAGTAGTGGGCATTTAACAAAAACTTTGTGTAACACATGTGCCCTTACACACAATACCCCAGCTCTTTGCCCTGTACACATTTGAGTTTTCAACACTATACTTAGAGTGTTCAGCTCATCTATAATAATAAAGGTGTACTATGCTATTTAGACCAGACAGCAGGACAGCAGAATGACCTTTCGGACGTCCTTCCGGACGAAGCCATGGCTGTGGGTCCGAGGCAGTTAGGGGTGATCAGGCAGGCAGGCAAGTGGTTAGGAACGAGGAGGCAGGCAGGCAGAGGTGGTTAGGGGTGATCAGGCAGGCTGACGAATGATTAGAAGTGATCAGGCAGGCAAGCAGAGGTGGTTAGGGGCAATCAGGCAGGCAGTCAAGCAGTTAGGGGCGATCAGGCAGGCAGGCAGGCCAGCAGTTAAGAGCCAGCAGTCCCGGATTGCAAGAGGGATGTCTAACTGCCTCTTAGGATATCCCCCGAGGGGTCCCAGATTGCGACAGGGTGCAGGCCGGGCTGAGGGCCCCCCTCCCATGCACAAATTTTGTGTACTGGGCCTCTAGTAGAATATAAGCCCAGATACTGAATGATTTTCCTTTCACCCTTGAAGCAAATCTATTGGTACAACAAAGAATACTAAAGGCTTAAAGGCCATGGGAAATGATAAAAGAAACAGTAAAATAAAACTTTTAATAGGCAAAGACCCTCCCCTCTTGGCTGATAATGATTTGACTGTCCATGTCCTTCAGCAGTGCCTACAGTTCCTTAATGATGATAATCCTATATAATAAAGGGGTAATATGCAAATTGAACCTAACAGCAGAACGACCAGTCACTATGATGCGCACTAACCACCAGGGGGCAGAGGCTCAATGCAGGAGCTGCCCCCTGGTAGTCAGTGTACTCCCACAGGGGGAGCTCCGCTCAGTCACAAACCAGGCTGATGGCTGCGAATGCAGCAGAGGTGGCGGGTGCCTCTCCTGCCTCCTCGGCAGCACTAACGATGTCAGACTGCGGCTTAGACTTGCTCCCTCTGGGGAGCGGGCCTAAGCCATCAGTCAGACATCCCCCAAGGGCTCCCAGGCTGCCAGAGGAATATCTGACTGCCAGCTTAGGCCCAATCCCCCGGGAAGCAGGCCTAAACTGGCAGGCAGACATCCTCCGAGGGCTCCCGGGCTGCCAGAGGGATGTCTGACTTCCAGCTTAGACCCACTCCCCCAGGGAGTGAGTGGGCCTAAGCCAGCAGGTGGACATCCAAGTGAGTGGGAGCCAGCAGGTGGACATCCCCTGAGGAGTCTCAGACTGCAAGAGGGCACAGGCTGGGCTGAGGGACCTCCCCCCCCCCCCAAGTGCACGAATATTTTTGTGCACTGGGCCTCTAGTTAACATAGATAAAGCCCTTCAATTTGACTTCTGGTATGTGTTTTTTTCCTTTGAAGGTTTCAGATAGCTCTTAATTATGACTTTCTGGGTCTGACCTTTCCACAGCTTCTACAGGGTCTTCTAGATTCTGGTTAATGAACTAGTGACTAGATGAATTTGAACAGCTGTTCCTTGATGAAGGCATTTTCAAATAGTTTCCAAAATGCTGTCTTCTGAGGTGTCTTTTACTAGAAAAAAATACAGGAACAATTGATTAAAAGTTAGGTTTTTAACTCACTGGAAATTAAAATATGGTTTACTTTGGGTGGATTAACATGCTGAAATTATTTAGTAAAGTATTGTTCTCTATAATCTTATATCACTAAAATTTCTTGGATTTAAGTTTTTGCTTCTGGATGTCTAAAATCTGCATTTTATTTTGCATTATTTCTCATAATTTTATCTTGGGGGAACTTGTGTCATTTTTAATTCCCCCTTCGCTGTATTTTATATTACTTTTAAGAATGAATTGTTGCCCTGGCTGATGTGACTAAGTGGTTAGAGCGTCAGCCTATGCACTGAAGGGTCTTGGGTTCGATTCCCAGTCAAGAGCATGTACCTGGGCTGCAGGTTTAATCCCTGCCCTGGTAGAGTACCTGTGAGAGGAAACCAATTGATGTGTCTCTCTCACATCAATGTCTCTCTCTCTCCATCTCTCTCTCCCACTCCCTCCCTTCCACTCTCTCTAAAAGTCAATGGAAAAATAATATCCTCGGATGAGTATTAGCAAAACAAAAGAATGAATTTTTTGCCATGAAATTGAAGCTGAAATCATAAATTCCCACATATCTTTCTTTCGAGAAGATTGTTAATCTGGTTGTTAAATAATTATAAAGCATGCCCTAGGCCAGTGATGGCGAACATTTTGAGCTCGGCATGTCATCATTTTGAAAAACCCTAACTTAACTCTGGTGCCGTGTCACATATAGAAATTTTTTGATATTTGCAACCATAGTAAAACAAAGACTTATATTTTTGATATTTATTTTATATATTTAAATGCCATTTAACAAAGAAAAATCAACCAAAAAGATGAGTTTGCGTGTCACCTCTGACATGCGTGTCATAGGTTCTCCATCACTGCCCTAGGCCCATGGTCCACAAACCATTGCTCACGAGCCACACACAGTTCTTTGGCCCCTTGAGTGTGGCTCTTCCACAAAATACCACGTGTGGGTGAGCACATACAGTGCGACTGAAACGTCGTGGCCCATGCACAGAAGTCGCTATTTTGTGGAGGAGCCACACTCAGGGGGCCAAAGAGCCACATGTGGCTCGTGAGCCCCGGTTTGCCGAGCCGCAGTTTCCCCACCACTACCAGGCAGTTTGGCTCAGTGGATAGTGTCAGCCTGTGGACGGACGAGTTGCGGTCAAGGGCACATGCCTGGGTTGTGGGCTTGATCCCCAGTTTGATTTTTTACAGAGAAGAAGGGAGAGAGATAGAGAGTTAGAAACATCGATGAGAGAGAAACATCGATAAGCTGCCTCCTGCACACTCCCTACTGGGGATGTGCCCGCAACCAAGGTACATGCCCTTGACTGGAATCGAACCTGGGACCTTTCAGTCCACAGGCCGACGCTCAATCCACTGAGCCAAACTGGTTTTGGCAAAAAAAAGTATATTTTTTTTAAAAAGAATTATAAAGCCTAACTCTTTATATAAAATAGTATTTGAACTTCTCTCAAAACATAGTATGAATTAGTAAAAGAATTTAAGCCCAGAAATGCATATTCATAAGTGTCCTTTTTCCTAATTTTATTTAAATTTCATCCGTGCCCTTAGATAGATTTATAAGAGAGATGAAATCAACATGGAGCAGTACCTGGAAAATAAAGTCTAAACTCTTACAAGTGAAACTGACTACAGTAAATATATCTAAACTCCTGGCTATTTAAATAACTCATCTGAGAAGTAACCATTCCTGGACATTAGCTACAAGGGCTCTTTGCTTTTTAGGAGTTCTCCAACAATGTCACACTTGGTGTCCTAGAAAGAGCACGATAATGAAGAGTTTATAGACTGAAATTCTGTCTCTGATTCTACCCATTTGCCAGCTGTGTTTCTCAGCCTCACTTTCTTTATATCATAAAGGCAGCTGGACTAGATAGCCAGGGAGGCCTCCCACATTTAAAAGATTATAGGTTTTTATTTTCTGTATGTGTTCTGGAGATTAGAACCATCCTATTCATTTCAACAACCTTCTTAGTTACTTTTATATTTGTGCTCCTGGCCCACATTTGGAGATTTGGCCAATATGGGGTCCCAGGTGGCCTCTGGTAAATTCATGGGTTAACCCATATCCTGAAAGTGAAACTGTGAGCATCATCTCTTTCCCCACTTGCCTCAGAGTCATCTTTGTTACTACAGAAAAATTTTAAAGAGGGGGCACTATCAAAGATTGTTGAGGTAAATTGATAGCAATAGTCAAAGTTTGAGGAATGAAAGAGAGAAATAGTATGTCTGCTTGTTGTGTTTTCCGGACATCAACTGGTCTACCAGTGTGTTATTGGTGCTGAACAATTTCATTTTCCCATCTGTGCTTGGCAGGGGTGCCTCATCTTTCCCATCACATTCCTACTCATTAGGAGAGGCTGCCCAAACCACTAGGCCAAGAATGGCTACTAGCAAAATAAGGTCCTCATTGGCATACATTCCGCAGAACCCTAAGAAAAGAACCAGGCTAAGAAGAGATATCTCTAATCCTGGTCTCTGATTTTTGGAGTCTCCAATTCATGCCCTAATTATGTGGGAAATGCATTGCCTATAATGCTTGTTAACACCCTGTTGTGTGGGGAATCAGCTTTCCCTGTACTACCTATTCTCTAAAACCCCTCTCCCCAAATAATCTGGAGAAAAACTTCCCATGCAATTTAACAAAATGTCTTATATGTCCCACCTTGTTCTTGTGTACCTGTAACTTGAAAGCAGTGCATCCCCATGAGCAAAGCTATATTATACAATGGGCAGATTCTCTTTAGAGTTCTCCTAAACCTTCTGATGTTTTAAATGAGCCACAAACACCATGACTGCCTGTCTTCCTTTGGCCTGATTACTTGGAGTGCATGTTTCGTTAGCTATTTATGAAGCCTTCTATTACCCAAGCCTGTTGACTGATCCGTCATTCTCTGACTAGGTGTCTGTTCTCTCTTCCTTTTTGCTGATCACAGAGGCGCAGCCCGGTAAGAACTTTCAACATTTTTTATCCTAAACATGTATAAAGAAAATTGCTGCCAAGGCCAGATGGCCCGGTTGACTTCTCATCAAATTTATGACAGCCCAGTATGAATGAGGCAGATGAATTCAGTTTACTGGTTGGAAGTGTCTGGTCCTGAAAGTGTCAATAACATATTTTAGGATTATAAGAGCACTTCTCCATTAATACATTAAACTAAATTAATACATAGGTATCCCAACTCCTAATGTCGGGTGTGTGTGTGTGTGTGTGTGTGTGTGTGTGTGCGTGCACGCACGCGCGTCCACATGCATGCGCACACGAGCAAGACCTGGAGATTGGCCAGAAAGCATCATAGAAGTTTATAAGAAATGTATAAGTTTGAAGAATAAGAAAACTATAAGGAAAGTAAGGAAACCATTTTTAAGCCACGTGGTTTTTAAGACTGAATTTATAATAAGTTGCATTGGCCAGTGTACACTGATACATAGTAATGCATAATCACAGTTTCCATCTTAGAGGAGGAGACATGCTTTCAAGTCGATATGTCTAGGCTGTCACATAATTCTTCTATATGCCATCACTGAAGACAAAAATCATAGTTTACATTGTTCAAAGTAAAACCTCAGTCATTTTCCTCAGGTTGAAGAGTGATGTATTCAAAGCAACAACAAAAAAGGGTCTTTGCTATGTTTGAAATGCCTGCTTCTATCTGGCCAGTCCCTTGAGAGGGGAAATGGAATTGAAAACAATGCCATCTGAAATATCCCTAGGTCTGTGCCAGTTCAATTAATCAGTTATTATTTCAGGCAAATACTGTGCCCCAGTTGAGAAACTGGTGGTTGGTTGGTTAAGCCACTTGGCTGAGTATCAAAGAAAGCAGCACCTGCAAGTCTGGATGATCTCAGGTGACATCTCAGATTGTGACAAGTTACTCTTTTTCTTTAAAGAAAAAAAGTGAACTAACTAATTCAAAATGAAGGAAATTCATTCACAATCTACATATAAGGGCAGTCATTGAAACTGTGGTCATTTGGTGAGGTTTTTTAATTCAATGGGCTTTCTTCCTGAATGTGGTTTGTGTGGTCAACATCACTGTAACCCAGCTTTGGATTTATCATGCTGCAGCATCCAGGCCATCAAACTCTGTACGCCACATCCAGCTGACAATGGGACTTCCTTTTCTGTTGCTGTTCACTTGCTGTTCAAATATCTGTTCCTTTCTAAATTGATCTTATTTTTACTTTCCAAATTTCTAAACATGCATTTCTAAATATGCATTTTCTTACATATTTCTACCATGTCTTGCCTGCATTTAATGGGCAATTGTTTAATCATGTGGAGTTTTTAATAAAAATGTTACGGGGACTTCTTGTTCAGGTCCTCCCAACAGTAAATATCTGTTGAATGAATTGATACACCAGGAATCGGTGAATACAAAAGAGGCGTTGAACCTTTCTTGTTTTCATAAGTATTACATTTTTTATTAAAAGGGTAAAGTAGACTGAAAGGTCTTCAGTACAGCCTTAGGGCCCCCCAATTCCTGGATTTCAGGTCTCACAATACTAGAGGGGAACCATTCCCTAGAACTTAGAGCCTGTGGGTCTCTTCCTTCAGACCTTATTAATAAAAATAGGACCAGCTGAGGCTTCATAACCTAGGAAAACATTTTAATTTAAACAATTTGTTCTCTTGTTATTTTTGTCTATACAGTCTTATTTTCCAAAAGCCAATCGGTATCCAAACTCCCATAATGACTATAGCTGATTTAAATATCCACATGTATTTAAATGTTTATAAATTTAAATAGATATGTTAATTTAATAAAATATATTCATTTATTAAAATAAGTAATGGTATTTAATTAGATTTATTTAAACAAATTAATATTTTTAAACATAAAATATTTATTTTTAAAGTTATTACTAACAAAATAATAATTCTCTATATGACACACACACAGATTGTATTATTAGTCAGGACAAGACAGAAACTAGTTTGAGAGATTGGGCCACCCACACCAAAACATCTAGTGGATCCTGTTCAGATGGAAACTGCTCTTCTATCATAAATGAGTTGAAAATAAGACAAACCCCAATTCTGAAAAATCTTTACAAAATAGGGGAAGAAGCTTCCTATATTGCTATGTCTTGTCCTGAGTTATTGATGTTATCATTTGAGACAAGAAAATATATGTTACCACTGGGTTGAGAGTTCACCAATGTAGGGAAGTAGAAAAACTCTTTGTTGACCACCCACCAAATTAATGGTCAGACCCTTTGAAATACTTTCCTATACTTTCACTTTTCTTATGCAGCTCTGTCTGCCCCATCGTTCTCCTCAGGCAGCCCTGCCAAGCCACGTCCCACCCACGGTGCCTCCCTTTCAGTGGTCTGTTTTTCTGGAAGCACCTCATGCTAAGAACCTTTCATAGTGGTTTTGAATCAAATCTTTGTATCTAATCAATCCTTCTGTTATCAAAATAAGTTTCTGCTAAGGCCTATTACTAGTATTCCTGCCAGGCCTGTTTGTATTCCAGTAGTATCACACGCCTTGAACTAAAGGAATGACCCCCAATGGTAGATTGGTGGGCCAGGTAGCAGGCAAGTGGAAGAAATTGGGGTGGGGCAACCTAGTGGGGAGGATGGAATTCCCTGGCTCCCTGCATAGAACAGCCCATTCAGTGCCAGTGCTTTGAAGGTTTCCTTCTCTATAACATTTGCCACTTACATCCATTAAAAACCGCATTAGTAAACTAATGACTGTTTCAACTAGTTTATGGCCCCCATGTGATAAGAGCAGACAGTACTCCTAATATAGTCTATGATTTTCAAAGATTAAATGTAACTTAAACTTGGACTTACTTTCTTGTCTACTAGACTTCAGGGTTGTTTTTTAATAGACTGTTTAATATTTAATTTAATTTTTACTTTATATTTACTTTAATATTTACCAGATCTACCCAGGTAAGGGATTTTTCTGGTTTGGGAGACTTATAATTTACCCTTCCTTTCTCTCTATAATCCTAAGTAAAATGAAAACTGATTTATATGAATGTGTCTACAATTTCCAACTTGAATGTGATTCTGAGAAAATTTTCATTTTTCCCCATCGATTTCTTTGAGTTCAGATTAATTGCAATAACAGAAATATACATATTGTACATAGCATATATGTGGTCTTAAACCTTATAGTGTCTATTTCTAATTCTAGGGTGCAATTAAAAGGAACTTATCCAGTAAGTATATCTTAGCTACCAAAAATAGAGTACAATTTAAAAGAAGGAATAAGTTCCTTGGATCTTGAAGCATATATACATTTGACTTATATACTTTGGGGCTTGATTTTTAAGACTTACAAATACCTTTTACAGCAAAGAAATACAATGATAAAGGGGCTTAGTGGGTTCTGAATGATTCATGTTTAAATTCTGAAAATGAATATGTTCCGGGGAAAACTTTGCTTATTTTCTTCCTGTATTTTTCAACACTTGTATCATTTGACTTTAGAAATGAAGTTCATCAAGTGTGTGCTTGGTGATGAGGGTGGGGAGAGGGGGCAGAAGGAACTGAAGATAAATACCACTTACCCATTCTTGTGTTATTTGGTATAAAAATTTTAGTCAGCCAAGGTGACATGGAATAGGTTATAATATACATAGAGCATGATCTTCTTTTGCTGCATACAACACATTCTAAGGAATTCTAAATTCGTGGTTCCTGGTTAAAGGTATAACATTTTCTTGGCATTTCAAGAAAAGAACAGGCAGAGAATGCTGGATTCATGTCCTGTGGACATACGGCCTGGCTTAATGTTCTCTTATGATAATTGGGAAGCAGACCTGATCAAGGCATCAGACATTCAGAGAATGTTATGCTACTCCACTAGCTCTACAGTATACAAACCTTCTATTTGATGCTTAGCGTGATAATTCCTTGGTCAATTAGGTTTTTACAAATGCCAGAGAAAATGCTACTACATATGCCTAATATAAGACTGTTGCATTGCCAGGGGAGAAGGTTTGTTTTGTGGGTTTGTTTTTCAAAGCTTTCATGTTGAGTTGCTTATTGATGGGACTTAACTCTTTAAGTGTTTCCAAACATAGCTCATAAGACAGATAAGTAAGGAATGGCAAGAAAAATATGCCTAAAAATTCCTTTGTCCTGTGTATCAGGTGAAGAAGTGGCCAGACCCAGGCGTTCCACACCGACACCAGAACTCATCAGGTAAGTGTGAAAGACACTGGTGTGTTTCATGCGAGGCATCACCACTGTTAACAATGTAGCCTATCTCATTTGGACTAAACTCAGCTCCTTTTACAAAAGGACCTGCCCATGTGTGTAAGTTCATAGTGTGATTCATATATGTTATCATTTCTCATATAAGTGCAGCCTGAGAGACACCTTTAGAAAAGTACTCTGTAGTCACCTACAGTAACTATCTATCAGAATGTGCAGTCCCCTCACTAATAGCAAGGTTGAAAATTTGTATGAAGAGGTCCTTTGGGGTCTGTATACCAAGCTGAAATCCTATATAATAAAAAGCTAATATGCAAATTAACTGAATGTTGGAATGACTGGTCAATGTGCACTGACCACCAGGGGGCAGAGAAAGTATTCTGTAGTCACCTACAGTAACTATCTATCAGAACGTGCAGTCCCCTCACTAATAGCAAGGTTGAAAATTTGTATGAAGAGGTCCTTTGGGGTCTGTATACCAAGCTGAAATCCTATATAATAAAAGGCTAATATGCAAATTAACTGAATGTTGGAATGACTGGTCAATGTGCACTGACCACCAGGGGGCAGACACTCAATACAGGAGCAGCCCCCTGGTGGTCAGTGCACTCCCACAGGGAGGACGCTGCTCAGCCAGTAGGGAGTGGGCCTAAGCCATCAGTCAAACATCCCCTGAGGGCTCCCAGACTGCTAGAGGGCGTAGACCAGGCTGAGGGGACCCCCCCCTCAAGTGTATGAATTTCGTGCACCAGGCCTCTAGTATGTTTATATTTTTCTACGAAGAATAGCCTGTTTAGTCAGATACAATTTCATGATACATTTTACCTGCCACACACCAAAGGAATCTTCTGTTTTGTTTACGGCAAAACATTGTATTTTATACTGTGTATTTATTGGATTGAGCAAGTATTATACAAATGGACATTGTTTTCCAAATGACTCCTATTTAAAAGATGAATCTTTTTTATTTTCCCTCCTTCTCAACCTCTTCCTTCTCCCCTTCACCTCTTACCTCCCACCACCCACACAAAGAATTCATTAGGATTAATCTAGGGAAGAAATGGAGAAGATTATACAACCTTTCGTTAATAATGAGTTTAAGTAATCATTGGGAAAAAAGATGAGAGTTTAACTTATTACTCTCTTTTCCTTCCTGATTTCTCAGTACTCTTTTTCTTTTTCTGAGATGTGCTATCTTAAGGTATTAAGAGGTTATAACTAGTGTATTGGGTAGGAGGCAGGGATGGATGCAATTAGAAGCTGGTAGGCCCAGTTTCTTATTTAAACACAAACTTCCTGGGTGGCTTATCACTTAGCCTCGCTGGCCTGACTTTCACTAATTATAAACTGCATTAACTATAACATAGAGATGTGGCGAAGACAAATATCAATGGGTGGAGATCTTTTTTTCTTTTTCAAATTAGAAGAATCCTATATTCTACATTTAGAGCTGTGTGCTTTGGCAACATTTTATTTTATTGTTTATTTAATATATTTTTATTGATTTCAGAGAGGAAAGGAGAGGGAGAGAGAGAGATAGAAACATCAATGATGAGAAAGAATTGATTGGCTGCCTCCTGCACGCCCCATACTGGGGATTAAGCCTGTGACCCGGGCATGTGCCATTGACAGGAATCAAATCCTGGACCCTTCAGTCCGCAGGCCGAGGCTCTATCCACTGAGCCAAACCAGCTAGGGTGGTTTGGGGATCTTAAGAGAGTAAGGTACTTTACAATAAACTTATCTATTCTAGGTAGAGGTTCTCTCCTTCAAATTATTTAAAAGGGCACCTTGGTCCCCCATTGAGGGGTCTTATCTCCTACCAACTCCCTTGTCCATAATACATTTGACATCCTTACATATACTTTCTAGACCTATGGGAACTTACACACATGCATACATACAGACACAAGTGCACACGTACATCTGCCTTACTGTGAAAAATATGTGAAAATGTGTATGTGTTTTTCAGCATTAATATCCCCTTTATGTTTTGCTTTAATGTGTGTGATTTAGCAAAAAACCTCCAGATGACACTATGGCCTTAGCTCCCCTCTTTGGCCCACCATTAGAATCAACTTTTGATGAACAGAAGACAGAAGGTAGGAAAAATGTATATATCTGTAGTTGTTGTTTTTTTAACTTACTTAAAGTAAATATATGTGTTTTGAAGCATATTCTTAATGTATCATCAGATCTCCAGTAGCTGTGTTTGGTAATAGAAAATGCTCTTATAAAAAATCATTTAAGAACACCATGCCACATATATTAAAAAATATTATTTTTCTAGGATCCATTATTGAGGGAAATTCTATTTAAAGGTTAAGGACAAGACTTAAAACCATAATAGGTAGGCTAAGCTACTGTAACAAAGAGGCGCCAAAATATAGTGACTTCAACAAGATAGAATTTTATTTCCCTTTCACGTTAACAGTCTCAAACAACATAGGACGGTGGGCTGGCTCTGCTATTCTTCTCTGGGTCTGAGAGGGCTGCTTCAGCTCCCACCATCTCTCAGTCAGAAGAAGGCGGGGAGTAAGGTCGGGAAGGCGAAAGGACCGCACTGCCAATTCTTGTAAGAGCAAAATCTGGAAGAGACATACATCACTTCGAACCAGAGCCCATGATAGATCATTTAGTGCCACAGGGCCAGCTAAAACTCTTTCACTATGAAGAAATGGAGAGAATGCTGGAAGACAGCTCGCAGTCAGCCACATCTGAGCATTTTTCAGTGATTTGGTTAGGAAAGTGTATAAGAAGCATCCCTAAATACTCCTTCAGTGATTTGTCTACAACTTAGGTCTCTTATTAACTTATCTGTGATCACCCGTTCTTAAGGACATAATTACGTAGTGACTGAAGGTGGGATTAGATTTGTGTCATTTAAATCTACCTATTAAAAGAATTTCATAACTATATCAAAACCTAATATACAAAATAGAAAACAGTCCTTAAAATTCAAGGTGGTATTCAACATTGAATCCATAAAAAGAAAATACTGCTTTACATCCTTAAAGAATATTTACTTTTATGCTAAGACCATTTATGAGGTTTATGATGAAGAGGAGATTCACCCCTGGACTTGTCAGTGAGCCTGGCTCGATTGCTCTTTAGGTGGTTTTGGCCCCAGAAATTCCGTGAAGTTCCAACATTTGTACCAAGCACATTTGTTTTGCTAATACCCACATTCACCTGTCATATATACACACTCTCACTTTTTTTTTATTGATTTTTCGATCACTGGTTTTAAAAGCCTGGGAAAGCATATGTATTTTGGAGGCAGGCATGCATGTACGCCTGGGATCAGATTTTAGCTCCTCTGTGTTCACCATGTATGCTCTTGGGCAAGTTATATAATCACTCTAATTTTTGGTTTCCTCTACTGAAAATGGCACTAATACCAACCACATGGTGGTATTTTTTTTTCACATGGCGGTGTTTTGAGGATTAAATATATATAGTAATAGCTATGGGCCTTGTGGTAAGTGATCTATATACATCTTGTATACATTATATTTATATTCTCCTTCAATCCTTTACATAAATCTCTGAGATTGCTTTTATGTCTACACTAAAGGAAGGGAAGCTCTGAGTTTAAATGACTTGCCCAAGGTCTACAATAAGTATGGAGGCTGCCTTCAAATTCATATTCAACTAACTTTCCAGCTTGTGTTTCATAACATAATGAATTACAATCAGTACTTATATTGCCCCTGGTACATGATAGGTGCTGGAAAGAGCTGGTTATTTACACTGTTACCATAGCAATAAAAAAGTCAAAAGGGGAAGACAACACAAGTCGAAGAAATCTTAGAGTCAGTGTCCTTAGACTCAATATCTAATTGCTCTCATTTATTTTAGATGTCTAAGCACTTGTTTATTTTTCTTGTTCTCTTAAGTGTTTACCATTTTTTGATCATTTAATTTCTTTCTATGATGCTGTGAAAGGTTTACTTAAAGACCCTATAAGATCCTTTAAAGATACAAACCACTGTATAGAACCCAGGCATTTTAATTTTTTAAACATACTGATATTTCTAGCAAACTTTAAATAAACCAACTTAAAGCAGCTTTCCATGAGATTAATGGCTGGATTTTCAAATGGGTACCAGAAACTGAGCCAGTGTATTCAGAATGTCCTCAAGTGATCAACCAGAAAGAAAATGCAGTTTTTACTTAGCTGTATATAAACACACAGACACTCTCCTGTACACATACAAAAGCACCCCCCGCCACTCCTGTTTCCATTTTCTGCTTGAAAAGAACAAGGAGCAGCATGTTCCTAGATTAATTTGCTAATTCTGAGGCAGGAGGGAAGTAATTTTGTGAAGCTCAACTTTAAATTGAAATGTTAAATTCTAAAATATAGAGGCATTTCTTTTGTAAACTCACCCTGGAAATTTTTTTTTATGTTTCCAGTTCCCTTAGATCAGCCTGAGATATGGGGTTCAGGCCAACCAGTTAATCCAAGCATGGAGTCGCCAAAGTTAACAAGGCCTTTTCCCACTGGAAGTAAGTTATGTGCCTGCTCTGTCTGGAAAAATAAGTGACTCATTTTACTGTCTGTCTGCATAGTGAAATTGGGCAACTTTTAGAAAGTCTACATAAGCAACATTTGGACTGTATAATATTCAGAAGAGATGTTATTCTAACAGGCTTTAGAGTTAAAGGGGCCAAGGCAGGTTGTCAAGGCAGGAATAACATAAATAAAGTAAAATCAGTAACTTTGGATCATAGTCTCTTCTGATACTCCACAGACTCACTTATTCATTCATTTAGTCATGCATTCAGTGTGCATATGTAAGAGTGAAAAGCAAGTGAGCCAAGAACCTACCATGCTCCAGGCCTGGGCTGTCACGCAATGCAGAGGTATCACACAGCACCAGGTCAGGTGTGGTTTCTGACAGTCCTACAGACTGAGGCTGCATAGGATAGAAAGGCCACATTGAGAGGAGAGAATGACAATTGGAGAGCAAGGGAAATGATGCTATATGGTAGAGAGAAGCCGAGATAGGAGATCTGGGCAAATTTATCTCAAAGCAGGGCCATCAGCCCATCTTATTCCAGCATGCCCCTCCCCACTCCAGGACCTGAAGATCTTTAGAGCCCTTTGCCTGCAATGGGTTGGGCTTTTGGGGCTGAATGGATTGCTCATTAGGTCAAGCCACCTGTCTGATGGATTTATTGAGTTCTCATTTCAGTGGACTTATCTTAGCAGATGTGCATGGGGAAAGCACTCCTTAAAAATCCTATTGGATCTTAGAGAAAGGTATTTGGGGATGGTGGGAGGATGCAGAGGGTATTTTTACGCTGTGAGGTTCGCATAGAGACCAATTAATACTTTTTCCAGTTCAGCATCCCCAGAGCTCTGCTTTTTGATGCCTAAAAATAATCATAGGAATTAACCAAGGGATTCCTAATCAGTGACCCAAGAGGCTATTTGTTGGAAATGTTGCTATAAAGCCATGTGATCCAATCTTTCTGAGAATATCTACACTAATAAAAGAGAAAAATGGTAATTGGCGTACTACGCTAGCCTTTTCATTGGCTAATCAGGGCTATATGCAAATTAACTGCCAACTCAGATGGCAGTTAATTTGCATATGTAGGTACAATGCAGGGAGGCAAAAGGGAAAGCAGGAAGAAGCCCCCTGCCACTGACAGTGATCAGAAACCTAGCCATGATCAGAGAATCAGGCGCCTTTGCCG